CTTTCGATGATCCTCAGAGCGCGTGCTAGCGCCAGCGGTGCGCTCGTCCACCGAAGCCCTCCGACACGACGCAGGCGGCGTGAGGGCCGACGCGAGGCTAACTTACGTGGCTGCGTGCTACCGGCGGAGCAACACAGGGCAAACACACACACACACACACATACACACAACCCCCACACACACACACACACACACACACACACACACAGACACACACACACACACACACACATACACACACACACGCACACACGCACACACACACACACACACACACACACACACACACACACACACACACACACTGGGCTGGCACACGTCCTGTGGATCCTCGGGCCTTGACCCGCTCCAGCACTGGCCGCGAGGTGTCGTACTTGATGTCCAGGATGCCCGGGTCGGGCGAGAGGGGGGGGGGGGGAGCAACCGGGCGCCGAGATCCGAGGCTCCGGCCAAAATTGGAGCGACCAGCGTTAGGCTGTTGTCGACCTCTAGGGGCCCTCAGCGGGCCCCAGGGCAGTGAAAAGACGACCCTGGAGGAAAGACCGGCCCTCCTATAGGGAAGTTGCCCAGGCCTCTGGGGGCCCACGCATCGAAAACATTCCAGCGTTGGACGCCTAGGGGGTGGGGGCTGCAGTGCAACGAATCAGCCCACGCCGGCGGCCCTCCCAGCGACCCGGGGCGCGCGAGGCGCCACACGTGTCTCTATAGGAGAGCGCCCGGCGGTGGGGCCGAAACCAGCAACCAGCTGCGGCAGCTTCCGCCCCACCCTGTGCCAATGCTAGGCGCTCCGTCCTCATCACTCCTCTGCTCCCTTCGTCCTCCTATCTCCTTCCCCTTCCATCCTCCATCGTAAATCCTTCCTCCTTCCTCCCTCCTCCTGCGCCCTCCTCCTCCTCCTCCTCCATCCTCCTCCCTCCTCCTCCTCCTCCTCCTCCTCCTCTCACCCTACTTCCATCCCTCCGACGACGTGACTTCGGAATCCGCGGCCCCGGGGCCCCGGGCCCCTTGTGCAGGGGCAGCTCGTCGTCTCGGGTGCAGTGTTGTGGACTCCGGGGCCGGAGCACGGGCCCCGTGCAGGAGCGGAGGTCGAAGAAAAACGCAACGTATAGGGTGAGCGAAACACATGTCGTCGGACATCTGGGTGTTTCCCAGAGCATGTTTCTAATCCACTCCTGAACGTTCCCATGGGGAACGGCAAGAACCGGACGATAAGCCAGCCCTGCAGGGCCTGGCCAGGGCCCCCAGAGGCTGAGAACAGGAGAAATACTGCCGCCTTGAACGTCATCGTTATTATTATTATTATCATCATCATTATTATTATTACTACTATGATTATTATCATTATTATTATTATTAGTACTATTACTAGTATTACTATTATTACTATTATTATCAGCATCGTTATTAATAGGATTATTATTATGATTATTGTCATCATTATTATTTTTATTATTCGTATTAGTAGTCTTACTTTTTAAGTATCATAATGTTATTATTACTGCGATCTTTGCAACATATTATGATCATTATTATTTCGGCGCCTCGGAGGCCTGGGGATCCCTCAACACCAAGCCGACGCAGCCAGAAAACTGCGACACCGTGGAAACTCACGACCAGGGCCGCACGCCGGGCCGACGTGCCTGCTCCTCTGAAGGGGCCCTGGGGCACTCGAATAAACAGGCGCGAGTGGCAGGATTCCCCACGTTTCCCTTCATCTCTTCTTGTTTTTTGCCTCCCCCCCCACTTCCCATATGTTTCCCTATTCTCCTGGGAGTCGACGGTGCATTGTGTCTGTGCGTTGTTTTCCCTCCTGATCCTTGTGCGAGCTGGATGTATATATATATATATATATAAATGTATGTGTACATATATATATATGTATATATATATATATATATCTGAGGGTCTCGGGGCCCGGCTCTGGGCGAGAGAACGTCCGGCTCTCAAGAGAATGAAGGCGCCAGGATCTCTCAGGGTCGCTGCGCCGCTCGTCCTCGCCATCCTCCTTCCACATCCTCCTGGCGCTCCTGCTGCTCATCTCGGCTACACGCAAGAGTGACCCTGCGTAAGAAAGACCCTTTGTGCGCGGCTTTGCGGGGGCCGCTTGGGGGCAAAACGCAAGCGCGCAACACGCCACTGCCGCCTCGCGTTCGGCGATCGGGGGACCCCATTTGGCCCGCGCCCAAGGTCACTCCGGCGGAAGGTCACTCTTACGTCTAGTCGATCATCCTCCTGCTCGCCCGCCACCTCTTCCCATGTGCGCAGCTCCCCCCCTCCCGATGGCGCACAGGACGATAGGGTGCTCTTGGAACTCCAGGCCGTCGGCTACGACACGCGCCCGCGGACAGGGCAACAAACACAGCGCAAATGGGGAGGGAGGGGAGGGGCGCCAGATGTGGCCCCTGGGCCCCGGAGGTCTCGACCGCTTCCCTATAGGGCCGGTTGTTGTTCGTCCTCCTCCTCCTCCTCCTCCTCCTCCTCCTCCTCCTCCTCCTCCTCCTCCTCCTCCTCCTCCTCCTCCTCCTCCTCCTCCTCCTCTTTTTTCTCCTCCTCCTCTTCCTCCTCCTCCTCCTCCTCTTCCTCCTCCTCCTCCTCCTCCTTCGTCCTCAGACGGAGCCGGAAGCCGAAAAACGGCCAAACACCGCCCGTTCGAAGTTGTTCGCAGCGTCGGATCTCTGGGACCGTAGCTTGCCACTGCCCCCCGAGCGGCTGCCCTGGTCGAGCATCGTTCACCGATCCCCATCCCCAGCGGCGTGGCCTTGGCCCCGCTGGCCGATTTACCCCCCCTAGATGGTGGACATAGGTCGTTCTTTTCGGGCTTCGAGGGGTGTATCCCCAACTCTGGGGTGATAATTTGGGGGGGGTCTCGAAGGGGATGGAGATGGGGATGGGGATCGGTTAAACGATACCGGCTGGTAGGCAGGGAAGCGGGGAGCTAGCTGCAGTCGGTGCTCACGGAACGGAAATCCCCAACCGACCGCCCAGGTAAGCCAGCAGTCGCGTCCTATGAACACTTTCATGCACCAATGGCCGGAGGGCAAACAAAACAGATGGCTGTACCCCCTGTGATCCCGCTCAAACCCGCCCAATCCGGCTCAATCCCGCTGCACCCGCAGCCGAATCTGGCGCAGTGGCCCCCCAATGGGGCCCCATCCTCCTCGATAATTTCGACGAAGACCTCCCAGGTCAGTTGCCTCTTCACATAGCTTGCCCCCCCCCCCCTAGTAGCCCGACCCCGAGATGCCCCAGAACATACGGCGGCGGCCGGCACTAAGCCAGACGGCTACGGAACACGGAGCGGCATTTGGCACGTGCCATTGGTCGTGTGTATGGGGCCGAGAACTCTCTGACCAGAAATCTGAAGCTTACAACCTTACACTCACCCCCCCTCCCAGTCGCCCGACCCCGAGATGCCCCAGAACACGCACCTCGCGCGCCCCGGGCTCTGCCTCCGCGCCTGCGGCCCGCGCGCCAGCGCGGCCTCCGCGGCCAGCGCCCCGGCCAGCGCCCCCGGGCCCTGCACCGCGAAGGCCCAGGCGTTGTCGCCCAGCGCGCTCTCGGGCACCCCCGCGGCCGACGAGAACGGGCACGGGCCGGGGGCGGGCCAGGGGCGCCCCCAAAGGAGAGATTCTGCGCGCTGCCGTTTGCATGCACGCCCGGCGTCCTTGCCCGGGGCTCGGGCCTCGGGGCCCGAGACCAGGTCGGCCGGGCTCGGGCAGGGGCGCCGAAAGAGATGGGGTCCGGGGCTCCCGTCGTGAATTTTCGGCGACGCCGCGATTTTTGCCCGCAGCGGCGGGCCTCAGGGCTCCCTGGGCCCAGAAGGTGCCCCCAGGATTCCCAAGGAGCCCAGGTGGCCTCCAGAGCGCCCGCTGCGAAGCCTCAGAGGACAGCGGCGCGGAAAGCTGGGGCACCCTGGGTCAGGGAGACCCGGGCATCCTCCGATGTGCTCTTTCAATCCGTGGTCGACGAGAATGGGTACGGCACGGGGTGTGTGTGTCCCCGAGGTGCCCAGACCGACACTGTGAGCGCTTCAATCGCTGCGTGCTTCTTGCCGCCCCTGGAGGCCGCATCCAGGCCCAGGACGATCAAAAAGGGTCCGGGGACGCAAATCGAGGGAAGGGAGCGGGGCTCTGGGGCCGTGGATTCAAAAGCACACATTGGCGGATGTCTGGGCGTCCCCAACCCAAGGAGCCCCCAGCCTCCCCGCGCCGCAGTGGAGGCCCTGGAAAAGTCTGTGGCGCCACCCGGGCCTCCCCGGGACATCCTGGGCCCACCTGCATGGGCCGGGGGCACCTCTGGCCAACTCCCGAACGGGACCTGCTTCAGGACGAGGTGTCTGCCGAGCTTGCGCCGGAGCTCCAGCGCGTGCTCCTCTAGGCGGCGGCATCCAAACGCTGCCCCCGCCAACCATCGATTCCCCGGAGCCGATGGGGGACGGGGGTGGGGCTCGGACTTCGCCGCGTGCTCGACGAACCCCAGGCCCTACCCCCACCGCCGACCGAGTTGCCTGGATCTTTGAAAGGCGAGGGTCGTGTTCGCATTTCGACGCCGATCCTCGCCGAGCTCGTAGCGCACCGTGAGGAGGGCGGGGGCGCCCGCCACCGCTGCCAGCACGTGCTCTGGCAGGCCCCGGTCCGCGCCCGCCGCCCCGGGCATGAGGACGGCGGCCATGTCTGGCCCCCCGCACCCGAGGCGCCCTCTCCACCAAATCTCGTCCCAGCTCGCGGTCCTGGAGAAACAGCACATGAGCGATGACAAAGGAACAAGTCTTGCTCGACATACCATGGCGGCCTTTCGCCGCGGCTGACGCTGACTGCCACTGCCAGCGAGGCGCGTAACATTAGCAGCTAGCAGCGAAGGCGCTCACGCGCGACCTTGCGCGTGTAGCTTACGCGCCAGAGTCGGCGCAGTCGACCCCGTTTGCGTCGTCGCTCGAATGGCCTGAAGAAGCACTTCTGGAGGTCCGAACGGATTTCCTGGATCGGCGCTAGACCCTCCTC